TGAAGACACATTACGCTCGTGTTGTGTTCAAGGAACCTGCCCTTAGCCAGGAAAAACAGGCACTCGCTTGTTTAATTATTTTGCGGTCTAGATTTCTTTTTCTTTTTTGAAGTGAAACGTTGTCCGTTAGTCGGACTGACGGACGGGCGGGCGGACGGACGGACGGACGGACCCCCCCCACCCCCAAAACGAAAACTATTCGGTTCTCCGCGAATTACACAAGTCACCCAAATCAGCGTTAAAAAAGCGGGAGGCGCCGAAAAGCGACTAATTTGCATCACTGATATATACACATTATTAGATAACCATATCGAAAACCAGCTTGATATCACCTTGGAATAATACACCTGCAGGGTTCCTCCAGGGACAAGTGTGACAGATCAGTAAAAACAGGTAGATAAACTTGTGATTGAACATTGTTTATTAAACAGGAAGGAGAATTCTGTCAGGACTCCCTCGAGCAGCCGCACCTCGCTCTCTATGGGGGCGCGCGCACCTCGCTCTCTGGATGGGGGCGCACGCGCACCTCGCTCTCTGGATGGGGGCGCACGCGCACCTCGCTCTCTGGATGGGGGCGCACGCGCACCTCGCTCTCTATGGGGGCGCACGCGCACCTCGCTCTCTATGGGGGTGCACGCGCCTCGCTAACAGACAAGCATATACATTCTGACCAACTCCAAGCATTGATTTAGCCAGAATGGGCTTCCATCAGTCAGGGTGTGGCCCAGAAGTCAATTGACAGAATACCAGGGCGAGTTTCTGTGGTCTTGAAAAAAGTGTCAACTGCAAATAGTTTCTTAAACTTAAATGAACGGTCAACAAAAGCCATTCAAACTGAAGACTGACTTTAATACCTTCACCATTACTGCACTGATTTGATTTAATGTACATTTCTATTTGAGAGACATCTCACCCCTCCCCGAGACAGCGTCCCGACTCGCATTGATCTGAACACTCAGGATAAACCAATTACAGAAAACAAAAACTTTTATTTTGAAATTACAACCAGGCTTCCTGTTCAGGTATTTACAGATGAAAACAATAAAATGTATAAAAAACAAAAAAGCGTCCTCTTTTCTTTCTGCATTCATGCAGTCCATTATAAAACTCCCAGAATGCTTTGCATTCAGACAGGTGACAGCGGGCGCTCCTCGCCGTCACTCCGACGTCTCGTCGTCTTTCTGTTTCTTCTTCTTCTTCTTCTTCTTGGCACTGTCCACAACCTGGAGGACAGAGGACACGATAAGGACCTGTCCACAGTTTACATAGTGTCAGCGCATCACTTCCTGCCTGTAACCTCACCTCTGGCTCCGCCTCCACTGGCTCCGCCTCCACTGGCTCTGCCGCCTCCTCCAGTTTTGCCTTCTTGTCTTTCTTCTTCTTCTTCTTCTTCACTTCCTCTGCAGACGGCGTGCATGGAGCGCTCGCTGCTTCCCCGTCGCTGTCGGCCTCTCTCTTCCTCTGCAGAAAGGTTAAAGGTCAGATTAATATCACATACACAGGATAGAACCGTCGGTGGTGGGGCAGGGTCTCACCTTAGTGGTCGTGTCACCTGACGCCTCAGTCTCCTTGGAGGCGCTGGAAACAAAAACAATGTAAAGAATTAAAACCTGAGGATCAGAGTGACTGCAGAGTATTCAGTTAGCGGACTGTCCTCAGAGAGCGTCAGCTGACTGAGTCGCTCCGAGCTGAGAGATTCTGTAGCAGAGCGACTCCCCCCGAGAGCACGGCAGCGCAGGGGGGGATAACTGTCTGCAGCACCTGAAGCCCCTCCCCTCAGCAGCCCCTCCCCTCAGTACCTGTAGTCCGTGTATCCCTCCTTCCAGGCGGTGGGCGTGCTGCCGTTGGCTTTCCCGTGTTTGTCGAGCAGTCCTTTCTGGATCATCATCTTCTTCTGACTCGCCTGATCAGGGAAAGAAT